CTCCCTCTATCTACCCAGCCAGGTCCTCCTGCCTCGGCTTCCTGAGCACTGGGATTGTATGTATGACTGCTAGACACAGCTAAATATCTGTCAGTGTGTATGTGTACTGTGGGGCAGATGCCTGTCCAACTGTATATACGTCTATACCTTATTAGGTTTCAAAGTCAGGGACAAATGCCTATTTAACGTATCAAAGTGGGCCTGGCTGCCAGGTTCTCCCTGCACCCTTTGGCCCCTAACCATTATAGGGCCTTCCTGGCTGGCATGCCACACCCCTACCCTGAACTTCTCCAGCCTAGGGCCTGGGCTGTTTGTCCCTATGTAATCCAACCATTTTGGCTATCTGCTTTCTTTGTAGCTTTGGGCCCTATAGCTGCTGTACCTGGTTCCCCCTCCCCCCTCTCCCCTTTCTCCCATGCCTCAGGGGCATGACCACTCTGGACTCTCCCAGAGGTCCCTGCCTCTGGCTATGCTCTCCCACATACCTATAATAAACTTTTCTTCTTAGCACACCTAGGAGCAGTCATTTTCCTTTTTTTCCTTTTCCTTGTTTTATGTTTTCATTCCTATGTATGTTTCTTTAGATTCTATATTCCTCCTCCCCTCCTTAAAAATACACACATCTAGCCAGGTGGCGCACACCTTTGATCCCAGCACTAGAGAGGCAGAAGCAGGTGGTGTCTCTGTGAGTTTGAGACCAACCTGGTCGACATAGCAAGTCCAGGACAGCCAAGGGTACATAGTAAGAGCCTGTCTCAAAACAACGACAACAATGCACACAGCCCCCTGCAAATCAGAAGACCCTGAGATACAAGGTTCCCCCACCCCCAGCAGCTTGAACATGGCAGGTGCCAAACACGTATGAAGCAGGAGGATGGGTAATAGTTTGATAGTTTGAAGCTAGCCTGGGCCACAGAGTGAGGCCCTGCCTCAGAAGACAGAAAGACGGTTGGGTATGCTAACACATGCTTGCAGTCTAATGACTGCAATGCTGCCTGGGCTACATAATGATTCCCGGACTCAAAACTGGAGAGATGGCTCAGCAGCTAAGACAGGGGTCTGTGCACATCTGTAGCGAGGTCCCGCAGTCTGTGTGCACGTTGTGCCCTGTCCCTGTGTTCCTGTGTGCACACACACTGGTCGTATATGGTGGTGTCTCCCCTGTGCAGGTGTGTGTCTAGGAAGTGGCTCTGAGTGGCTGTGGGCAGGTGTCTGCGTGTCCCTGCGGTGGCATCTGGGTGTCTAAGCTACTGTGTCAGGGTCTGAGGGCCTTGGGGCAGCCAGAGTGGGTGTTTGTGTGTGTCCTTTATTCCCCCAGCATGAGGAGAGGCTGAGATGGTCGGGACAGTAACGGTCACTCCCTGTCTGCTGCAGCACCCAGTCACTGCCTGCCAGTGGCTGCTGTGTCATCCCTGAGAACCTGTCCTCCCTCCCTCCTGACTGGGGCAGACAGAGGGGGCGTGAGGAACCAGGTGGAGCAGAGTTTGAGGCCAGGCTTCTGTCTGGCAAGCTCTGTCATCACTTGTCACCACCCTCCAAGTCGCCCTGTGTGGCTCCACACCCTCTCTCCACTATTGGTGCAGAGAATCAGGTTTCCCCTAGGTGTTGGAAATCACCCCTTGTCCTTAGACAGGGTCTCTACATAGCCCTGACTATCTGGGAACTCGTGCTCTAGACAAGACTGTCTTTGAATCCAGAGAGATCCACCTGCCTCTCTCTGTCTCATGTGCTGGGAGTAAAGGCACACACTACCACTCCTAGCAAGATCCAACATATTTACAGTGCTTCTTGGGGCTGGGGAAATTTGCTCAGTGGTTAAGAACACTGGTTGCTCTTACGGAGGACCTGGGTTTGGTTCCCAGCACCCTCATGGTGAGTCACAATCATCTAACTTTAGTTCCAGGAAATCCAATGCCCTCTTCTGACTTCTGTGGGTGCCAGGCACACACAAAGTGCACATACATACATACAAAAAATAAAGCAAAGCAAAACAAAACAAAAACCCTCATACACATAAAATAAGTAGCCCTAAAGAAGTAATTCAAGTGCTTCTTTGTTTTTTGTTTTTTTTTTTTTCTGGATTCTGGGCTAGCCCATGGGTTAGGAAACAGTTTTCTCCAAGACTGAAACATTTCATCCTACAGAGAAGCACTTTAAACAGGACGATAAAAGACTCAAAATAGGAAGTCCCTGAAGCTGACTAGATTTACTAAGTCTCTCCCTGCCAGAGTAAGCAATAAAAGCTGAGAGTCTGCTCTCTCCTGACCTCAGATGGAAGGCAGAAAAGCTGCAAAGAAGACTCTCAGACAAGCCAAGCTGTAAAGGAGACTGAAAAAAGTTCTGCCTGAAAGAAGCAGAACCCAGCCGAGCTGCCTGAAGGAGGCTTAGACCCCCTGAGGCACCTGGAACAGACACCCTCCAGCCTCTCGAGCTGCTTGCAGGCTGTTCTGTGTGCTCCAGGTTCCCAGCTTTGTGAGCTTTCAGCCATGCTGGAATAGGCTTTGGTGATCCAGCTGCCCTGGAGTAATTTCTGCTCCTGTGAGTAACCCCTTACCCATACATATTCCCGTATGTAACCCCAGTAAAGCTCATGGTTCACCAAGTTGGACTCTGGTGGCTTCTGTACTTTGGTCTGTCCTGAGCTGGCTCCCTCTCAGGGGTGAGTGGAATGTGTGTGTGGAATCTCCCCAGGAAAAGTTTTGTTACACAATAACAGGCTGGGGGTCTCCCGGGCTTGTGCAGTTGCTGATGGCATTTTCCTTAGTGGGTGCTGAAAAGTCAGGATTCTGGCCAGCGATGCACCTCAGTTGGCAGGCGGCCCTGGGTTCCACCCTCAGCAGCACATAAACCAGGCCTGGTGCCAATATGGAGGTGGGGACAAGAGGTTCAGAGGTTTATGGTCATCCTCAGATATATACATTACACATATATACATACACATGTAATACCAGACAAACAGGATATACTGTCATACATTCACTGCCTGGCATGGTGGCATATGCCTTTAATTCCAACACTCAAGAGGTAGAGGGCAGCCTGGTCTACAGAGTGAGCTCCAGGCCAGCCAGGGCTACAAAATGAGGCCCTATCTCAAAAACAGAAAGAGAGAAAGGAGGAGGGAAGGAGGAGAGAAAAAAGAAGAGGGTATGTTCCCAACAGATTCTGGTATATATATATATATATTTTTTTTTTTTTCCCTTCCTTTCTTCTGGAATAATGATAGAAGCCAGGACTTCACATATGCTAAACATACATTTCATTTTAAACTACATTCCAGCCCTCATTTCCTTCTTATTAATAATTTATTAATTAATAAATTACTTATTATTGTCATAAATTACATGTGAGTACTGACTCCTTGTGCTTTGGCACACGTGTAGAGGTCAGGGAACAATTTTTAGGGGTCGCTTCTCTCCTTCCTTCGTGAGTCCCAGGGATGGAACTCAGGTCATCGGTGTTTGTGGCAAGCTCCTTTATCTGTGAATCATCTCACCAGCCTTCATTTTTTCTGTTATGAAGATATTATTTCCTTAAAACTCTCAAAGGCTTAAGGATTACAAGTGTTACCCTTTAATGGTTCAACACTGGACCCGACACTTGCTGATTGCTAAACACATGCCACCAATAATAATAATAGAAATAATAATAATAATTTCTATTATTTTCAAGATAGGGCTTCTCTGTGTAGCCCTGGTTTTCCTGGAACTCCCTTTGTAGACCAGGCTGGCCTTGAACACACGAAGATCCACCTGCTACTGCCTCCCAAGCGAAAGGCATCCACCATCACCCAGGGCTACCAACAATTATTATTATTATTGTTCTTAATTACAACAATAATAATTACTATTGTTATTGATTGTTCTTAATTATTGTTCTTAATTACACTTTCCTTTCTGTCTCTCAGGCTAAGCAGGAAGGTGTGGCTTTCAACATCATTGAGCCTGAGGGACTCATCGGGGGCGGGGGGGTCCCACCTGCTTCAGGGTCCCCAGATTCAGCGACCCTGGAAGCCACCTATCCTTTGCTTAGCTGTGAACACTTAAAATTTAGCTCAAGGAGGGAAGCACATTTTTCCTTTTTTCTTTTCTTTTTTTTTTTTTTTTTAATATGAAGGAGAATATTGGATGGATGTGGAGAGATAGAAAAGAAAAGAATAGAGAGAGACATGGTGGAGGGTCCCCAGGAAAGAAAGAGAGGAGAGAGCAAGAGAAGAAAGTGGGAGAGGAAGGTAAGAGAGAGCAGGAAGCACATTTTTCAAGCTCAGCGAGTCAGGAATAATCTGGGACAAAGCTAGTGGGATGGACTCCATCCTTACCTCTGTCTACACCTGGGATCCTCACAATCCCTCCAACCTGCCTGAGCCTCAGTTTCCCCTCCTAGGCTGACTACAACCACCTCACTAGGATCTGCGTTGGGGACCTGCTCTCTTCCACCAGTCGGGGCGCTGCACCGGCTTGGGGAGGATGGGGTCCCAGGAGTAAGCAGGCCTGGGCACCTGGGGTTACACCTTTCCCAGCCGGGGTCGGCGGGGGCCTTCCCGGGGAGTTCAGGCGCCAGTCAATCTCAGCCCCCGGAGCGGCGTGGCACTGCGCAGGCGCGGGCGGGTTCCGCACAGCGCAGCGGCGGCGGGCGCGCGCCGGAGCGAGGGATTCCCTCTGACGTCATTGCTAGGATACCAAACAAACACTCGGCCGCGCCGGCCGAGCTCCTTATATGGCTAATTGCGTCACAGGAACTCCGGGGAGGGCGCGGCGGGATCCCCTCCCGTGGAGCCCCTCAGAATGCAGCCTTGGAGACCCCCTGGATCCCCCGGGTCACCCTATGGTCAAGTGGCCAGTGCACGAGGCCCTAGGGGTCGCCGCATGGGGTTCGGGCGGCAAACGAGGAGTGTTCGGGAGGTTTGTGCATGGAGCGGAGGGTGACGCAAGCAGGGGGGCGGGTCCCGGACGCATAAATTCAGCCCCGCGGCTCCCGGCTTCATTCATAAGACTGGAGCGGTTACGCCGGGTACACGCGGAGCCGGAGCTTGCGGGACTGGACTACTGCTGACTCTTCTTCTTCTTGGCGGCGGTGAAATTTTTACATAGATATAGCTATACATTTAAACCGGAGAGAAAGTTTTGTGGGTTTCTTTTTTGCAAGAGTCCTTCTAGATCGTTCTTCCGTCTCGTCCTGAGGACAGACTTACTTTCTGTGGGCTTCTGGATCGCGCCCCTCTGCCATCCTTCCTTCAGCTCGTGGGACGCCCGGAAAGGATTGGAACCGGATCCGAAGCGCGCACTGAGCGGCGGGTCTCTGGGCGGGGAGCGATCCCCGCGTCGCCCCCCGTGAAACCGACGCAGGTTGGACTTTCAGGAGGCACAGCGGCGGCCCGAAGGGGACCTGGGCGCTCGCAGAGGGTCCTCGCATCGAAACCTGCGCAGCTCTCTGAGCCGGAGCTGAGCTTCCCCGCGCAGCGCACTTCGGGGACGTGTCCGGTGCACTCCGGACTTATAGCTCCTTCCACTCGGCCATAGCCTTGGCTTCCCGGCGACCTCAGCGTGGTCACAGGGGCCCCCCTGTGCCCAGGGAAATGTTTCAAGCTTTCCCCGGAGACTACGACTCCGGCTCCCGGTGTAGCTCGTCGCCCTCCGCCGAGTCTCAGTACCTGTCTTCGGTGGACTCCTTCGGCAGCCCGCCCACCGCCGCCGCCTCCCAGGTAAGTTCTCGAGGGCAAAGATGCTATTGGTGGTCGTGGAACAAAACGATTTCTTTAGGTCTAAAGTGTGGGTTGAGCATCCTCTCAAATAGAGAAGCGCCGAAACCAAAACAAAACAGGATCTGAGAAAGCAAGAGGCTCGGTGTGCACTTTGGGTTTTGTTGTTTGCAAACTGCAAAGAGTGGCGAGATTTTTGCAACGGGTTGTGTGCGCGGAGCGCGGGAATGGAATGCAGTTGGGCAACCGCTGGCGATGCCCTGTGCAAAGTATCCGCGGTGGTTAGCAGAAGCGGAGAACTTTGAGCTGAGCTCCGGCTCCCTAATCCAGGGCTAAGCGAGTGTGGGGCGGGGAGAAGCCCAGAGAAGCTTCCAGGAGCCTCCTCCCCTTCCCTTCTCCTTCCAAGCGCCGACTGCAGGGCCGCGCTAGCCCTCCGCCCGGCTGGAGTTCGAGCCTCGAACCCCGGTCACGCAGCCTCCGCCTCCTGCGCGGAGACGTAACGGGGGACCCGTGCGTAAGGGCTGACGCGCTGGAATCCTCCGTCTGACGCGGGGCACGCACGGCGCGTAGCGCCCCCTCCGCCCGCCCCGCCCCTGACGTCCCGGGCACGTTCTATTTTGGAACGCCGAGGCCACGTTACTAAGGGAGGAGGCAGCGCGGCTTTCTGATTGGCTGCCGCGGAGCGGGCTCTGGCTAATCAACGTCCTCTTCCTATTTGTAGAGCGCAGCTCCCTTCCCAGCTTTTTGTGGTTCTTCTGTGCTCGCGTCTCCGAGGGGCAGAGCTAGGGGGTTCTTGTCGCGATCGGGCGACTCTGGGCCACGCCATGGGTTTCCGTGGGCCTTGTGGGGACTCGGTCCCTCTGCTGTCAGAAGCGAGAGGCTTCTGGCCGAGTGCTAGCGCCCCCAAGGGGAACCGGGAGGCCGTCACCCCCTCTCCAGGCACGCTCACAAGCGCTCTCTGCGCTCCGGACACCCGGTCCAATCGGGGTGTTCAAACACTGGAAGGGCCGGCCCGCGCGGAGGTAGCCAGGTGGTCTCTAAAAGGTCCGCCTTCCCTACGTTCCCAGGGCCCCGATTGGCCAGGGATTCAGCCCTGCCCTCGCCACGCCCCCTAGAGTAGTTAAGCCTCTAGGATTCCACTTGCGGGAAGGGGCGGGGGTGATGGACGCTTATTGGGTTTGGGGACGCAGAGCCTGAATCACCCCCATCCCCTGCAAAACAGTTTGAGGGATCCTCGCTCTCACTTTTCTCTACCCGTCAGTCCACGAAACCTGTCACTTGGTCTCACTGGGGAAGAGACTGATACTCGGAAGGGACGCTCTCAACTCTTAGGCCGGTCCCCCAAACACCATTGGAGCTGGGATCTCCGCCCCTGCGGGAGCCCTCATACAGTGCGGGGTGTGTTTGTGTGTGGAGTGGAGAGAAAGGCTTGGGCTAAGGCCTTTCTCTCTCCCTCCCTCTGCGGTGGGGGTGGGGTGTTGTGACTGTGTGTGTGTGTCTGAGTGTGTGTGGCTCCATCCACGGAGGTTCTGTCATCAGGCTCTGTCCAGCCTCCTCTCTACCCCCCCACACACCTAAGAGTCACCAACCCGGGGTGTGATTCACCACCCGCTGGAACCGTGCAACCTTTCCCCGAGGAAGAAGGAGGAGGTAGAAGGCAGTTGAGCAGAATCCTCTCATTAACCACTGCGTCACGGTGTAGTGGAAGGGTGGGTGTTGTGGCTTTTTGCCTGTGACACACACATCCACACCCGCTCACCCTGTGCTCACTCACAGGGGTCGGTGTGTGTTATGTGTGTTGGGCGTGTGTGTGTCGGTGGCTTTGTTTGTGTGTCTACGCCTGTGTGTGTATGTCTCACCCCGTAGGAGTGCGCCGGTCTCGGGGAAATGCCCGGCTCCTTCGTGCCAACGGTCACCGCAATTACAACCAGCCAGGACCTCCAGTGGCTCGTTCAACCCACCCTCATCTCTTCCATGGCCCAGTCCCAGGGACAGCCACTGGCCTCGCAACCTCCAGCTGTCGACCCTTATGACATGCCAGGAACCAGCTACTCAACCCCAGGCCTGAGTGCCTATGGCACTGGTGGGGCCAGCGGAAGTGGTGGGCCTTCAACCAGTACAACCAGCAGTGGACCCGGGCCTTCCCGCCCAGCCAGAGCCAGGCCCAGAAGACCCCGAGAAGAGACAGTAAGTATGAGGCCTCAGGAGCTGATCAGGGGGAGCCCAGGGATGTGAGCTCAGCTTACAGAGTGCCGGTTAGCATGCATGAAGGAGAGGGCCAGCACAGCATAAACCAAGACCTGTTCTGCAGACTTGCAACCCCAGCTCTCCAGAGGTGGAGGCAGGAGGATGGCTCGTTTGAGGCCAGCATGGACTGCAGGAGTTGGCCTGGGGGTGGGGGAGGTGGGAGGAGGCAACAGTAATGCAGTCACTGTAAAGCTGGGGGTCTTTTGAGGCCCCAAGATCGAAGGAACTTCATCCTCCCTTCCTTCCTGCCAGTGAGGAGTAGTTTAGGGGGAGAGGAGTTTTCTCGGGGCTGAGAGAGGGATCCCCAAATCTCACAGTCCTCATCTCTTTGACTCAGCTTACTCCGGAAGAGGAGGAGAAGCGAAGGGTTCGCAGAGAGCGGAACAAGCTGGCTGCAGCCAAGTGCAGAAACCGTCGGAGGGAGCTGACGGACCGACTGCAGGCGGTAAGGAGGGGTTCTGGGGGCTGTTCTGCCCCGTTTCTCACTGAGCCTGTGTCCTGAACCAGGGTTCCCCCTTAGGGACGAGAGTCAGTGCTGAGTGGCTTCATATGCATACTCAGACCCTTACCTGCTGACCCCCTGTTCCCCCCTTTCCCCGGCTTTCTCTCAGTCCAAGGGGACAAGATGGAGGAGATGGTTCTCTCAGTTTGTCTTGGCTAAAGACGAATTTTTGCCTCCATGCCTTTATTTTTATTTTTTTCTGAGATGGGGCTCTGCCCCCTCTCCCAACTTGATAGCCCCAAGTCCCAGCTCTGTGAGTCCCGAGATGCCATCATCTTCTGCCTCGAAACTCAATTATTTCATGCTAGTCAGTTTTTTACCTGATGCCCCAGCCACCTACAGTTCTGAGCCTGAGCCGGTGGCGCCCAGCAAACCCACTTCTTTCCTCCTTCCACCTTAGTGCGAGGCTCCCCCCTCTGCCTTTATGCCTGCAGGCCATTCTCTTGCCCCTTTAAGCCGGGGCACATCTCTGCCTTCCTGCTGGGAGGCTGAAGGAGATGGGTAACAGAACCACACTAAAAACAGCACATAACCATTGTTTACTGGCTCAACACACTTCAGTGTTTTTCTTTAAAAAAAAAAAAAAAACTTGTTTCATTTATTTATTTATTTATTTATTTATTCACCTATGTTTGAGTGTGTGCAGGTGTGCCAGAGCACACACATGGAGGTCAGAGGGCAGTTTTCAGACTTGGCTCTCTCCTTCCACCTTGTGGGTCCCGGGAATCAGCTCAGTTTGTCAGGCTTGCTGGCTTGTCGCCTGAGCCATATTGTCCCCTTCGCCCCCTTTAAGGCAGAGTGCTACTTAGTACAGGCTTCAAAGCCATAGTCCTCACCGCTGCCTTAGCCTCTGAATGCTGGGGTCAGAGCCGTTTTCACCTCCACACCGGCTTTGGAATTTTTGGCCATCAGAGACTTGCACTCTTGTCTGGCCTTTTCCCAACCATCTCTTGGTCAGATGGGGAAACTGAGGCTCCGAGTCGTGTAGCCTACCAGGAGTCCCTCTCAGGGGGCGTTCCCCTCAGTTGGGAGGGAGCTGTCCAGCCCTCCCCGCGTCCCCTCAGCAGCTAGAGTGTGTGTGGTGGTGGGTGAGCCACTTCGTGCAGCCGCTGACCAACGCCTCCTTTCTTCTGTCTCCCATGACCTGGCCCTGCTGGCCTCCATCAGGAAACGGATCAGCTAGAAGAGGAAAAGGCAGAGCTGGAGTCGGAGATAGCCGAGCTGCAGAAAGAGAAGGAACGCCTGGAGTTTGTCCTGGTGGCCCACAAACCGGGCTGCAAGATCCCCTACGAAGAGGGGCCGGGGCCAGGCCCGCTGGCGGAGGTGAGAGATTTGCCAGGGTCAACATCCGCTAAGGAAGACGGCTTCGGCTGGCTGCTGCCGCCCCCTCCACCACCGCCCCTGCCCTTCCAGACCAGCCGAGACGCACCCCCCAACCTGACGGCTTCTCTCTTTACACGCAGTGAAGTTCAAGCCCTCGGCGACCCCTTCCCCGTTGTTAGCCCTTCTTCGTACACTTCCTCGTTTGTCCTCACCTGCCCGGAGGTCTCAGCGTTCGCCGGCGCCCAACGCACCAGCGGCAGCGAGCAGCCGTCCGACCCCCTGAGCTCGCCCTCCCTTCTTGCTCTGTGAACTCTTTAAGACAAACAGAACAAACAAACCCGCAAGGAACACGGAGGAGGAGGAGGAGGAGGGGAAGGTGCAGTCAGGGGCTGTGTGTGGACCCCTTGACTCTTCTGTCTGACCGACTGCCACCTCCGCCGCCCGACACGACGGAAGCACCTCCTTTGTGTTTTGTGCTCCGGTCTCTGCGCCCCGGCCAGGCCGGAGAGCTGGTGACTCTGGGAACAGGGGGTGGAGCGGGGTGGACACCCCTTCTGCAGATAACTGTTTGTCCTTTCACTTCAACTTCTGGGGATGCACGGCTGGGGGGCTGGGGGGAGGCGACGCCCACTTTTGGCGTCTCGCGTGAGGCCGGGGGGGGGGGGAAGGGTGCTGGGTGTGGGGTGCGGGGTGGGCTTCAGGTCGAGCTGGCCTGCACCCCCAGAAAGGCCCAATGAGGAAACGCCAGCAGTCCTTCTCTCTCCCCTCCGCCCAACCACCCTCCAGGGTGCAGGGTGACCATGAGAGCGCCCGTTTGCCCTCTCGGGCCTTAGCTGATTAACCCAACATTTCCAAGAGGCCAAAACCTCCGGGACGAACTGAGCCCCCGACTGAGGGACGTCGCTGCCCGCTTTGGGAGCCCGCTACCCCCACTTCCCGCTGATTCTAAAATGTGAACCCCTATCTGACCGTCCAGCCTTTCCCTCCTGGGAAAGCCGGCTCGGGCTGGACGTTTTCCTCCTGTTGCAGAGCCCCCTCGCAGCCCGCGCCCACCCCTGCAGTGTTCCGCCCTGCCCCCGTCGCCCCGGCCGCCCTCGGCCGTCCTCGTTGGGCCTTTCTGGTTTCAGGCAGCGGGGGGCGCTGCGACGCCCGTCTTGCTGGAGCGCTTTATACTGTGAATGAGCGGCCGGACTGCGGGGTGCGCCGGGTGGGACTGACCCCCGACCCTCCAAACCCTTCCCTGGGCCTCGGGCCCCAGACTCCTCCAAGGCCTCCTTCGCCTTCCCCAGCCTAGGACGCCAACTTCTCCCGCCCTGGAGCCCCGCATCCTCTCACAGAGGTCGAGGCAAATTTCCAGAGAAGTTTTCAGGGCCGAGGCTTTGGCTCCCTTTCCCTTCATATTTGAACCCCCAAATATTTTTGGACTGGCATACTTTAACTGGGGGCTGAGTTCCCACTACCCCACTCTATCCAGTTCCTCCAGCCCCAAACAAATATGGGTCCTGGCTCCTCCCTCCAGCTTTCACCTCGTGAGAATTCCACGAGTCAGATTTCTATTTTTTAATATTGGGGAGATGGGCCCTACCGTCCCCTCCCTTTGTGCTGCATGGAATACATTCCACGCCCTGTCCTGGGTCCTCGGTTGCAATCCTAATCCCACCTCCTCCCCCAGGCTATTTATCCCTTCCCTGGTTCCCGGAAAGCACTTATATCTATTATGTATAAATAAATATATTATATATGAGTGTGTGCGTGTGTGTGCGCGTGCGTGCGTGCGTGCGTGCGAGCTTCATCGTTTGCTGTGGAGTTCGAAACTTCTGGGGATTGGAGTCCGACTTTCCGGCTGTCCCTCCCCTCACGGTCTCTTTTTGTCCTTGTTTCCCGGCCCTCTGGCTATTGGAGACGGTCCCTATATCTTTTCTCAGTCTGTTTTGCTCTAACCACTTCCAACGTGTTTTCTTTCTCACTGGCCTCGATTTGTCGTTAATCCTGGGTTTGTTGGGGACATGCATTTTTACTTTTGTGAGTAAGTGTGACAATCTGTATCTTTGAAATTTCTGAGTGGGAATGTATGATCATCAGGAGAAAGGCCTGCCGCTGCCGACCACAATTCATTGACTCCATAGCCCCCTACCCTTGCTGTATTTGTGACTTTGTGTGTATGTGTGTGTGTGTATTTTGCACCTGACCCCGGGGGTGCTGGGGCAGTCTAGCACTGAGCAGCTCCCCTCCCCCCTTGGTTCTGCACTGTCGCCAATAAAAAGCTTTAAAAAAATCTATCAGGCCAAAGTATCTTTTTCCTGGGCACCTATTCCATTGCTCCCTTTCAGCAAGACAGAGTGACAGGTACTTGTGAGGCCTCCCTGTGGTCCCAGGCTGAGTCGCCCACTGAGAAAAGTAAGGGGCAGAGAAGCGTGAGGTGCTGATCTAGCGAAAGACTTCATGGTTCAGGACACCGGAAAAGCGGGGTGTGGTGAGGCACACTTGTAATTCCAGCATTTGGGAGGTGGAGGCAAGGGGGTCAGGAGGTCAGGTAGAGGACAGATGCCAGGGGCAAAGACCTGCTCCTGAAAGGGGGGCAGGCGGTTGGTGTCCCTCAGGGAGCCCCACAGAATACCGGCCTTCGGACACGGAGTCCTGGCGTGCTCTTGAAGGACCCTCGCTCCCCCGTCAGCCCTGTGCTCCAGCAGCTGTGTGTCAAGGTCACCCTGGTCAGGGCTCCTCCTGAGGTGAGCCTGCAGGCTCGGCTCTGCTCCTGAACTCACTAAGCTCACAGCGGCCTGCGGCCGAGCTCTCCACCGCCGCCTCATGAGACCAGGGCTAACGGTGTGACCACAGCTGTCCCCTGTCACCGCGCAGAGCCAGGCCGAGCCAGGGTGGACCAGCCAGCACTCACGGCGTCAGCAAGTGTGTGACTAAATCCACAGGCGAGCAAGTGACTGGGCCAAGCAGCAGTTGACGGTAATCAGGAGGAGGAAAAGAAACCGCAAAATGGGATAGATACTCCCGCCCGAAAGGTGGAATTGAACCACTCTGTCGCTAAACAGCTACAGGTTTGAAGCCTGCACCCCAGACCACTGAGGATCATCCGGGCAGGGAAGCCTTCTTCCTACGGAGTATATAAAGACCATGGAATAGAAAAATTGTCAGTTATGGTGATTAGTTAATCGTACAAAGGAAATGCTATAATTAATTCTAATGTTTCTACTCGACTTTTCACCTCTTATAGTAACGTATTTTTCTTTGCCAAGTGTCTGGAATGGCCTTACTAACTGAAAACAAGAATCCTCATTTGCATAGCGCCTTGCATTCTGGGAAGCGACGCCTACCTCCCTAGCCGAAGAGGACCGGAATTTCTCTGCAAACCGAAAAGTCAGCTGCAGCTTTTGTCTGCCTGTTTGTTTGTTTTTAAAGGGAAAACTCCTCTTGCGGTACTTGAAAGCCCCTTCGGGGCAGAATTCGAGTTTTTCTGTGAGGGAGAGGCGCCTCGCCCTCGCGTCTAGTGGCGCGCGGCCGCAGAGCGACACCTGCTGTTCTCTTGTGGAACTGCAAGTGCGTCCCAAGGACCCAAACTTTCCACACTAGAAACCATCCCCTTCCATCCGCGCGTGTTTGGGCCAGGGAAACTGAGGCACAGACACGGATAGCATCGCAGTCGAGTCCTGCAGCCCAGCTCCCTGGGGGAAATGAAGCCTGCACCATCATTATTATTATGTAATTACCAACATTGGTTTTGTTGTTGTTTTTTGGGGGGCCGGGGCCGGCTCTAACTCTGTAGCCTTGGCTGTCTTGAAGTTCATTATGCAGCCGGGGTTTGTCTGGACTTTGAAGCGAGCTCCCTGCCTCGGCCTCCCAAGTGCTGGGAGTTTAAACCATCACTTACACGGAAGCTGAAACACCGAGGTTCTCTCCCCGGTTTCCAGAGCCCTCACTTCTGCCCCGTGACCCCCCCACCCCACCCTGCTGGTCCTCCCGGACCACGTGGCCCCTCACCCTGGTCTCAAACGCCCCCACCCCGTAAGGCCCCCCTGCCCTGACCCCGGTTTAAACGGCAGTAAGCTGTCGCTGCCTCCCCCGCCACACGCAGCCGAGCCCCCGCTGGCTTTTCGCTCACTGTCTGACTGCTTAGACGAATAGATGCTGTCGCAATCTTTCACGGAGCCCCAGTTTCTCCCTCGGGCAGCGGCTCTCAGCCTTCCTCACTCTGCCACCCTTTACCCAGCTCCTCACGTTGTGGTGACCCCCAACCAGAAGACGATTTTCGTCGGTCCTTCACAGCTGGGATCTCGCTGATGCTAGGAAGCGTGAGGTAAAATATCTTAGACGACCCCTGCGGAAGTGTCATTCCACCCCTAAAAGGGTCGCGACCGAAAGCGCCCGATGAACCGCTGCCCTGGAGGAATCACGGTAGGTCGGCTCCCTGGACGGCCACTTGGGGGCGCTCGATGTCGGCTACCTCAGGGCTCAAACTGTCAGGATGCTGGGCTAGGCCTGGGGGCTTTAGGGTTCTTGGAGCCATTATTCACCAGCCATTATCCCCTCATCTCGATTCTTTGATGTAAACACTCTGTCTTAGGAAAGATGTTACCGAAGGCATCTCTAGAAAGCATAAAGTAAACTTTAAAAAACTGTGTATTCTTGTCGGTGCCTGGGGAAAAAATGACTTGCAGTTCCCTCCTGTGGGTTGGGGGATAACCTTTACCCTTTGGGCCACCTTGTCATTTCTGTGTGCATCTACGTATGGTCCTGGGGATGTGACCTATGACCTCTCCTTTGCTAAACAAGGGCAAAACAAAAACCAGAAAGCCCACACCAAAACAACAGCAGTAAATTAAATTTAAAATTAGAATAGCTGGACAAGAGATACAGATATTGCTGTTTTGGAGGAGTATTTTTGCTTGTTGGTTTGTTTGTTCTTGTTTTGTTTTGTCTTTGGCGTGGTCTTGCTACGTAGCCTTGGGTGGCCTGGGGCGCACTACCTAGACCAGGCTGGCCTCTGACTCGCAGAGGTCTGCCTCCTTCTGCCTCCTGGATTCAGAGGACAACTTTGGGGAGTTTGTTCTCGCTGTCCATCTTGTGGATTCCCAGGGATTGAACCCAGGTCATCAGGCTTGGCTGCAAGTTCCTTCACCGCCTCAGCCATCACCCAGGCCCTCTCCATTTCATCAGCTCGCTGCTGCACTGCGCAGCATTCCCACTGTGCAGACTCTGTCTATAACTCCTACTTGGCACTTCCACATCTACTGCCTACAATGATATGTCCAGCAAGAGGCAAGGGATGAACTAACGAATCTTAACATTTTTGTGTTGTCTTTGCTGTAATCTATTTCTGACGAGCAGTGCTGGCTTGTTTCCAAGGTGGCAAGCAACATTTCTTTATAAAAGTTACTTTATAAAGTAATATTTCTTTATAAAAGATTTTTTTTCCTTTTTTATTCTTCTACTTATTTATTGTGCTGAGGATGGAATTCAGGGCCCTTTGCAAGCTAAGTCTTTACCACTGAGCCACACCCCAGCCCCTCACTGGGGGTTTCTAGGCAGGGGCTCCACCACTGAGTTGCATACTTAGCCTTTGGTCTTTTGAGTCTTGCTACAGCTCAATTTTGC